CCCGCTAAACTCAGTAATGCTCACAGAAATAGGTAAGGTTCTTACTTCTCTGAACGAACTCTTTCACAACGAGCTCTACTGCTGCTTTTATAAAACAAAAGTCGAAGCATACAAATAGAGTTTAAGGTTCACTAAATCAGATGAGACCATGATATAGGTGACATAAAGTTTGAAAGAGGGAAACACGTTCATTTCTCAGAATGCCTATTGCGCTCTAGTGCGCTGGCGCTTCACAGTTAATCCAATCTTGTTGTTCATATACAAACAGGTTTGTAAGGCCACTAACTTCGTAAGTTGTGGAATGCAGAAAAGCGTGTATGCTTTCTGTGAATTAATTAATATTGCTCTAGCGCAAAGGAGAGCATGAAAATTTCGCTTAATATTTCATTCTACGAGATTCCTGGAAGCAGAAGATGGCCATGTTGACGACTTGAATGACTTGTGGGTAAAATGAATAAATTTATACAAAATGAATATATTTAATTATTAATTATTAATACAAAGATCGAACCATTCCTTCGATCCGGCCGGATTTGAACCTACGATTTTTATAGCAAACCGTGCCAGACACTCTGCCAACTAAACCCCGGCGGACCTCACGAATTTTTCCATGTGCTTATTGTCGGGTCTTTGAATTTGGTTTTCAACGACTTTTAGCCGTAGCGCCATCTATGAGAAATCTATGAAAGTATTTCGTCACCCAGTTAGGTAACTTTACAACTACCAGCCCTGGCTTGAGATGTTACTATTAACTTTAAATTTATGGATTTATTTAATTCCATATGGTGGATTTTTTAAATTGGAAAACATTGAGTTCAAACAAACGGTTTTTTTCTTAATTCTAGAGTAATCCATTTAAAATATGAATTATTTTTTCGAATAATTGTTTTTTTCTCAAACACTTTATTTATGATTTATATCCTTGAATAACATAAAATAAAATTAATGCAACGAACAAAACAATTGTAGTAGTAGTTGTTGGTTGAATCGATAACGTGAATATTGCTATACACAATTAACAAAGATCTATATACGTATATATGTATATATATATATGTATCTATGTATATATATATATATATATATATATATATATTTAAACAAGCAACTACCCACTTCATGTAGAATAATTTTAGTACCCATTTGTTGTCGTTGGATATTTCAACTGTACTAGTACTGTATTTAAGGGTGGCTGTTCACGCATGAAGATTCATTTTTATAAATAGCACCTAAATTTTACTAAGGAGCAATTATTTTAATGGTTGATTTTGCTATTTCTCCAATCCAAGGCGTTTTTCTCTCCATACACTTTGAGTAGTGAGAACCAATTTTTGTTGTCTCCAGTGTCAAGTCCTGAATAGTGGCGAATTTAAGGATATTTCAATAAAACTTAGCAAATAGACGTAATTATAATATATTAAAATACTTTTAATGTAAGTTTTAAACTTAGAAAATAGTAAACTTAACATATGTATTAAATAAACTTAATATTGTATGTTACAAAATTTTTGTTACAAGCACACTTTTGTCACAAAAATAAATCTTAAAGGAGGTGAAATAGGGGATGAAAGTTTGTATGGAGAACCAATAAAACTATGAAAATAACGTTTTTAAAAAAAAACCGATCACATAATCGTGGACATCCATAGAATTATATCTATTTGCCAAGCTTTATTATGAAATAAAGGTTTATTTGACTTTGACATTTCTTTTTATCTGTGATGTGCTAGTTGAACAGAGTACTTACTGGTGGTGAAAGGCATTGCGATGAGTGCCACGCCACAGACGAAAAAAGCGGTGATGATGGAGTGCTTGCGGCCAAAGCGATCCAGGGTCAGACATATGTATTTACACGTACAAGAAAATCTTTGTCGCAATATCACCGAACGGGAAACATTGAAGTCGATACTAATTTCCTCAGTAATTAAATGTAAAACATAAATACACGGATTGATAAAAAATTTGACTATTTACTCTTCATTCAGACGGCGGTGAAATAATAACGTCTGTAGATTGCAATTAAGTAATTCATTTATAAACTTTTCACAGTCATTAGTTCAAAAATACAAAAGATGGATCAAGATAAAACGGATTTTAAATGTCACGCGGCGCATTCACAGGGAGCGTTCGCGCGTAATTGTTCACTTCCCAAGTAACTGTCTCAAAAAGCCCACCTTGTTAATGTGCCCTCATTTATAAAGCACTAACCATCAACTTCGGTCCTTATTTTCACATAGCAACCCTGCCAACGATCATGTCATAGGACCACGTCAGGCAATGAAATCTAACGTCAGGTAACTGAATAAACTGAACAGACACACACGACCAGCACTTGCCCCTCTGCGAGCTCACCGAGTTTGAGTTATGACGGACGCGTCATTTTGTTAACAAAGAAACCATGGTCGAGAGTAATAATTAGAAAACAACACGTAATAAATTATCAAAGATTTACCTTTTGGTAAAGCATTATTTAAACGGAATATTTATGTAAACATTAAACGGAATTCTGTTACGTTACGTTTGACGTGATAACTGACTCTGACATATTTATAAAATTCCACCATCGTTTATTCAGCCACCTTTAAAATTTAAACCTGTATAATTTCAACATAATGTACGTATTCAGTGTACATGAAGGTGACCGCAAATCCAGGCAACAGTGAGGTGGGTAAAGAGCATTCTGTAAATCAGATGTACCACCGACGAGATTTATGCTCGAATAAAACGACCACACGAGGCCGGCTGGAACAATTTCAATTTAAGGTCCCACACCAGTAAATTAACGTAAACAGCCTGCATATAATATTATATGAATATTATACATAAAAATCCACCATGTGAAATAATTTTTTCAGTTCAAAATAGCGCATATTTGTTTTGAACCAAAGTTTCGGGGTCTATGCAGGTCACGACTGACAGATGGCAAAGTCATCAACCAGTTATGGTTGGTTTGTTTGAAAATTCAATTGTACGCGATTTAGATCTGAAAAATAGTTTAATTTCCTATGGAAATGAGTTCTTTACATCTCAACGAAAACATATCGATACTTCGGGGAAAAACCAAAGTACAAATTTACAAAACAAGTAAAAAAGAAACAAACATTCATAATGATTTTGGTAAAAGGTATGTAAACTTTTTGTTTTCGTTTTATAACGGGGTGGATGAAATGAGCGTCCCCGCGCAACGTACCATAACGTACCATCATGCCTTTTCGGTATGCCGATTGGCAAATCTTTTCATCACGATCGCTAGCATTATAGTGTATGCCATCCAAGATAAGAAGTTTCATAACTGTCTTTACGTAAGAATAGCATATTTTGGCAAATAAAGAAACCTAGTATCTCGAAAACGTTTCAAAGTTTTACCTGACTACAACATAAACTTGTTTTTATAAGAATTTACCTGTATAAAGTATCAATATATTCTATTCATTGCGACTAATTTATAAATTCAATTTAGAAAACATGTAATTAATCTTAGTAAAGACGTATCATATTATGTATACTTTGAAAGTAGTTCTTGATTTTCTTTAATAAATAAAATATAAACTACAAGGGACTTGAAATTATGCGTCCATCATAATTGTGAGAGGCGTCCGTTCGTGTCAAAGGGGACAATTGGAAAAATTTACAATTGTCGTCAACAACACTTAGTATAATTAGTATAACCGCTCTTGATAGTTGGGTTGTTCGCATTATAGTAGTTTATAGTAGGTAAATTAGGTATTCATTCTTTGGTGTACCATAAATTATAATTTTTTTACAGTGTCTTTCTTAAAAATGTGGACATTTTTGTTATTTACCACAAAATTACAACAGCCGAAACTTATAATTTGTGTTTGAAATTGTCGATAAAATCAGAGAGGGCCAAATTTTCATTTCCATTCAACAACCAACATTTCCATATGTTTTTTTTTCTGCTATTTAAATTTAATAATTCTAAACGAATAATGTCAATAACGAGTTACTGGAAAGTGGTTCATATATTAATACATCAAGGCCTATGTCTGCATTTTGTATAGATTATTTACACTTTTTATTAATTTCTTTTATTACAAGTGGGAAATAGGACTGGTTTTATTGTTTTTTAACAACCTAAATGTGTTTATAATTGTAGGACATTTCATCGTGTGCTTGTGACAAAGATGTTATTATTTTAAAGGAAGTGACAGTATCTACCGAATCCTTCTACTACTCGTATTAATTGAAATTGACTGTATAAAGGTAGTGGGTCGGATTAATATCGTAATGAACAATTTAGACCCTCAAAACATTCTATTACGAAGCTGAAACACAAATTACTTTGATATATATTATATTTTTTTTATTAAAAATAAGTGCGTATTTGCCCACCATCTCACCTGAAATCTGATGGAAAATGATGATGAGGTCGATGATGCAGCATGCACACCTAAATAATGCCTATTCACTCTCGCTGAAAAGGCCCAAGTTATAGCGTTCAGGGAATAAGAATGTCCACAACATAAGGATGGAATCCCAACTCGAGTCTAGTCCTTCGATGATGGAAAGGGGAAGGCGGAATCAAATCATGCAATTCTAAATCTAAGTAACAATTTAGTTTGCAATGAAAATATTTTCAAAATATGAAAAAGGCTCGCTGCAACTTACTACCTATATAAATATAGTAGCTGTAGAGCTGCTTTCCAAGTTCGCCCCGGGAAGAACTGCCACTGTACATATTTCTGCCGCCAAGTAATATGAACATAATTGCGTTCCGGTTTTAAATGGTAAAGGAGGCTGGTGTACATGGGACTTGTAAAAGTAATATATCAGGGTGACGGGCGTAGTGGCAATGTCCCTCACATCTTTGCGATATTCAGCTCAGAGTGGCACTACAACTATTCTTCGTCTTGTTACTAGATATAATAAAAATGTAAATGCCACTAGTTACGAAAAATATGACGTGCGGTGGATGTTCGCAAGAAATTGTGAATAGACAATACCTAACATGTAAACATTGCTCTAAATACTATGATCTCCTGTGCGCAAATGTTAGTGAAAAGCGATTTCACAATACTATGACTGTGGAACATAGAAACAAATGGAAATGTCAGGAATGTGTAAGCAGGGAACCAAAGACTGATAACACGAACACACCGATCAAGCGTGATCTACCGCTACATTCTGACAGCAAGGAATGCTCTTCGAATGTGACATTGCGAAGTCGTGTTGCCCCGAAAAATCAGTCCCCTATTCCCTCATCGCCTCTGTCGCCTTCTCCACCAGCAAAACAAACCATTGAGTCTGAATTGGTCAATGAACTGCGACTGTTCAGAGAGGAGATGAAAGCTGAGTTGCGAGAATTTAAAATAGCCGTAACTGACTTGACCGCTGCTGTCAACATTTGTAACAGGCGGGTCGACGATCTCGCGGAGCGCCTGGAGATCGTAGAGCGTTTCCAGCGGGATGGATCGGCCATGGCCGCGTCTTCTCTTCAAAATGCAATAACTGAGCTCAAGCTGGAATTGAACGATCGCGATCAAGAACTATTCAGGAACGATATTGAGATTGCTGGAATTCCTGAACAAAACCATGAAAGGTACATTCACCTCGCGCTGACCGTAGCAACTAAACTAGGCGTAAATCTGGAGGAACGAGACATTGTAAGTGTGGCGCGAGCGGGGCCCGTGCGTCGCATGGAAGAAGCCGGGTCGCGACCGCGCCCGCGCCCTATCGTTGTGCGGCTCGCACGCCGAGCGCACCGTGACCAACTGCTGGAGGCCGCGCGCGTGCGCCGCGGGGCTACTACTGCAGGCCTAGGGGTCGATTCTGACACGCAACGTTTCTACGTCAATGAGAGGTTGACTCGCATGAACCGGCAACTTTTCTATAAAGCGCGTGGAGAAGCCTTACGCACTCAATGGAAATATGTATGGACACGAGAAGGGAAGATTTTTGTACGCAAGGAACATGGTTCACCGCGACATCGAATACGTACTGACGATGAATTAGTTAAAATTTTTGGTCAATGATACAGTTGGTACAATTCCTTCATTGTATTTTGTTAATAGCATTTATCGCCTTGAGAGACAATTATGTTTTTAAATTTTATAATATTTTGTTTCACGTTTTTAGTTATTGTTTTCTGTTGATTCTATATTGCGCTGTACGCCGTTGCTTTGAATGCTATTTTTTGTTAAGTATAAATTCCTTTATTAGTTGTGTTTTAAAACTATTTTTTGTATTGATGAGGGTAACAATTAAAGTGTTAGTATTATATATATTTTATTCAAGGCGCTTATTATATCCCATACGACTAACTTTGCTTTCACATAGTCGTATACACAAACACATACACGTAACTGTGACTTTACATAATGGTGCACACAAACACATAATTAACACTGATTGGCGACACGTAACACTTCTTTGCAAGTTCTTAGTACATGACAAGTTTCATCAAGTTTCTTTTTCCATTGTTATACAATTTAAAAAAAGCAAAGGATTGACTATCGGGCTGCTAAACGCTGGATCTCTTGGTACGCGTCATGATGAGTTCCTCGTGGCCATGGAACGTTTCAACGTTGACGTCATGGCTATCAACGAGACCTGGTTGCACGCTGGCCAGGAGGGTCGAGCGCCCGCGCCTCCCGGGTATCGCCTGCGCCATGCCCCACGTCTGGCCAATATACGCTCTCGCGGTGGTGGCGTTGGGTTCTATCTCAAACACGGTATCAATGCCCGCGTCATTACGCATCCACCTGCGCCGCCCGTGGAGCAGATGTGGTTGGGTCTTAATATTAATAATATTAAAATTACAATAGGTACAGCGTACCGCCCTCAATGGGTTAGCGTGGATGCTTTTCTCGATGCCCTGAGTGAAACTATTTCCTCACTCGGAAACTATGATTATCTTGTCCTTCTTGGGGATTTTAACATAAATCTTTTAGACGCGCAAGAACTCAAAACAATAAAATTGTCAAATTTTTTTAATTGCATGAATATTGATCAACTTGTGACGGAACCTACTCATTTCACAACGTACAGTGAAACATTAATTGACATAATTTGCTCTAATGCATGCATTGATAATGTTTCTGTTAATTATATTCCGGATCTAAGTGCTCACGCTTTTCTCACTTGTGAATTGCAAGTAAAAAAAGTTAAACTTCCGGTTAAACGTATCACCTATAGACCTTTAAAAGATATGGACCTTGTGACTTTTGACTCTGCTGTTAACTCTTTTCCATGGGAGAGCCTGGAATCTGACAATGTAAATGATATGGTTGAAGCCTTTAATAGAGAGATTTTGCATATATTCAATTCTTTTGCTCCAATAAAATCAGTTCAGATTAAAGACAGTTCACATCCTTGGATCACTCCCACAATAAAGAAAATGATGAAGTTACGGGACGAGGCTCACTCTAAGAGTAGACGTACTAAATTAGATGCACATAAAAACTTCTATAAAGATTTAAAAAACACTGTCTATTCCGCAATTCAAAGTGAGAAGTTTGCCTACTTTAGTCAACATATCAATACTATCAAAAATCCCCGCACATTGTGGATAAATATAAAAAAAAATGTGGCTGATTTTAAGAAAAAAAACTGTGTGCTACCCGTTAATTTACGTAACCCAAATAATATCAATCAACATTTTCTTGATTTACCTGGTAAAGACGATATCAGCATGTCTCTGTTAAATGATTTTGAATGCAATAGATTTGGTCCTGGAATTTTAACCTTAAAACCTATTTCCGAAACGACGGTCTTTAATATTATAAAATCGCTTTCCACGAATGCCCAGGGCGACGATGGTATCAATTTAAATATGATCCTGCTAACGTTACCCCGTACTTTATCAATAATTACAACGATTATAAACAAATCCATTACTACTGGTGTTTTCCCTGAACAATGGAAAATAGCTATTGTAAAACCAATACCCAAAAACCAGAATCCTAATAAGTATGAAGATCTTCGACCTATAAGTATTCTCCCACTTCTGTCAAAAATCCTGGAGAGAGTTGTCGGTACACAGATAACAGAGTTTGCTGAGACTTATAATATTCTGCCTAAGAAACAGTCTGGTTTCAGAAAGTCCCGCAGCACCGCAACTGCTCTCATAGATGTTGTAGATAATATCTTAGCCGCACGTGATACTGGAGAAGGATCTTTGCTGGTATTTCTGGACTTTTCACGCGCATTTGACACTATAAATGTTAGGTTGCTCTTGTCTAAGTTAGCATTTTATGGTTTCGATAATTTGACACTGAAGTGGTTTGCGAGTTACCTCTCTGGCCGTACCCAATATATCAGTGTTAATAATGAAGACGGTACTAATTCCATATCCTCGTCGATGCCTGTTACAAGGGGACTCCCGCAAGGATCAATCCTTGGTCCAGTCCTTTTTATTATGTATAGTGCGGACATCATTAAATCTATTGTAAATTGTGATTACCATATATATGCAGACGATATTCAATTATATAAATCATTTAAGCCTAGTTCCACAGTAGTGGCCGTAGCCGAATTGAACGATGATTTATGTCGAATAGCCCACTGGTGTGAATCAAATAGTCTGGTTTTAAACTCTAGTAAATCCAAGTTCATATTATTGGGTACGCGGAGCCAAATAGACCGCATTCAGAGTCAGAATCCTCAAGTTTCTGTAAGGGGTGACAACTTGGAACGTGTGTTTGAAGCCCGTAATTTGGGTCTTCTAATGGATGAACGGTTGCATTTTGAAGGACATGTACTCGAAACTATGCGCAGCTGTTTCTATAGATTAAAGGTACTTTATAAAATCCGCAACTTTCTTAGTGTAGACATGCGAATTAAGATGTGCGATGCACTAATTCTATCAAAATTAAATTATGCGAGCACAGTAATGGGCGGATGTCTCCTAACCCGGACGAAGAAAGTGATTCAGCGGGTCCAGAATGCCTGTGCACGTTTCTGTTTCCCTGTTCCCCGTCGATCTCACATTACCCCGTTCTTAAATAAATTCAACCTCATGAACATGGAGGCGCGTCGTAAGTTACATCTTGCAAGTTTGCTTTTCGGAGTAATAAAGAATCGAGAGCCTTCTTACCTCTACGAAAAACTTACGATTTCTCAACAGAATGTGCGATTTGCAGTTCGTCTTATGTGTCCTTCCCACCGCACGACTGCCTTTCGTGGCAGTTTCCGATTTGCTGCCACAAAATGTTGGAACGATATACCACCACCAATACGAAATTCCAAATCTGTTGCCTCTTTTAAATTAGCCTATAAGAAGTTTTTATTATCAACTCAATTATAATCTCACTACATAAGGTAGTCGTGCGTTGCTTGCAAAGATCTTAAAAAGTGATCAGAGCCAATTTGTACAATGTGTTAACACTAATCACCTCACTTACACTACATATACTCACCTCACTTACACTACATATACTCACCTCACTTACACTACGTATACTCACCTCACTTACACTACATTATAATCACATTTTTGGTATTTATTTCATTTTTATTATTATGTATCTATGTTAGGATTAGTTTATGGTGTTGTTTAATATTTTAAGTTTTGATTTTTATTTGTAATTAAGTTTTATACCTAATCTTTATATTTCTTTTTTGTTTTATTTTACCTTTCCGCCTGCTTGGACGAGGCGCCATCTTTCTTTTTGTCAATTTATGGTGCCACTGAAAACCAGCGTAATGAGGCGTTCTTCAACGTCTCATTACACAAAGCTGAGTGGTGACCGTTTTGGTAACATATGATGTATAATTGTGTTTGTTTTGTATTATTTATTGTAAAATGTTGCCAAATAAATTATTTTTCTTTCTTTCTTTCTAAATAGTGCTTCTAAAATAACCTATTGTACACGATTATTTGTAAAATACTGACAACCTCGCAGGACTATATTACTAACAGCATTGGTTCTGTATGTCGTGTGACTTTTGCGTTCCCGATGGGTATGTGAGAAGCCGGCGCCGACCTCACTTGTTGGCGATTCCTCTATGGAGAACCAACCTGCTGAACAGGGCATCACTGACACGAGCGATGAGAACTTTCAACGACATTGATGGGAACATTTATCTGTTTGCCTGTTCTCTGTGTGAGTTCATTAAAATAGCTTTATTTATAATGTGTTATGGAATATAATAAAAGTTTGTAATGTAATGTAGTATAATATAGTTTTAGTAAAAATAAGTGAAAATTTTGGCTACACTATTGCATTAGGTTATTAACTATCATTACAGGTAGTAAGTAGTAGGTAGCTTATGTACGTATGTAAAATAAATAAATAAATAAACATCATAAACAACTACTTTTGTTCCATGACTTTTAATAATTCGTCAGATTTTACCTTCACACAAAAATATTTAAATAGATCGCTCTAAACGATAATAACTCTGTACAGAATGGGGGTGGGAGTCGTCGCGGAGGACCACAGAATAATAAATACAGTAGAAGCGATTGTTAGCGTCTCACGCGTGCCAATAGTAGGCCTAGTTAGACCTACTTAAGCTCAGTCCGCCATTTTCGCTTTGTACGGTAAGGTTGTGTCAATTATTTAGCGCAAATTCCCTGAAATCGTAGAAAATACCGATTTGTGCTGTTTTGGAGTATAAAAACGATAACTGTACCCAAAATATTATCCGTGCCGGTGTTACATATCATCGGTAAGTCTTATTTTAATAAATTTTCTTATTATCGAGTTGATTTTTTGTACTGTAACAAACTAAAGTAAACATTATCCCAGAGCAATATGGTCGAATTTTATCTTTTGGAGAACTAAGAAAAAGAAATGCTTCTGAGTGTTTCGTTAATTTTAAATTTTATTGATTGACATAAAGTACATTATGCAACGTGTGCGTTAAAGAAGACATCTGTTGTCGCGGAGTTACTACTTTCTATGTGTTCAGACGTTAGTCATCGGTCGTAGTCCAGCCACTGGCTGCAAGATGGCAGCACATTGAATAAAATTTCAATATGAAATCGAAACGTCGTGACTTATAAGGGTTCTGATAGTAATCAAGGCGTAAGGCATTTCCACTGTTTTTTTCTTCCGTGCGGAGGACGCTTGCTTGGAAGGTCAATGCTTGCACATTTGAACTTACCTTACTACCTTACTTACTAATAAAAAATGATAGATAGTACAACATATATCCCGTATGACTTGT